CATAACCAAACTAAAACAATAAATAATAAAAAACCAAAATAACACAAAAAAATACGGTGATTGGCCGCAAACACTAAGGAACAATTCCTTATACATCAACCCAGATATCTATTGAGTCACGGCAGACGCATTATTACGCGTGTTACTTCTTATTATGTATTTCCAGGATGACGGTAATACCGTCGCATCTTTATAATTTAAACATCTGTCAGCCAAACTCGCTCTGTAAATTTCGCATTTCTCAGTTATGGATGACAACGTTGGCGAGCGTACTTTTGTAAGAATTTTGGCATCCTCCCATTTAACAACCGAACCATCTGCTTGCGCCATTTTGGATAATGCTGTTGTACACTTGTTTTTTGCGACATCGTATCGGTGCTCCTTAATTCTCACCCTAAACTTTGCTTATTTCATCAAGAAGTGAGACAAAAGGCTGAGGAAAATAGTATATATATATATATATATTTTATATGCATTTATATATATAATTTATCTTTCTAACTTTACACATAAAAATTGTATATTCAACTTGAACATGTTTATATAAATCATAAAGAAGTACAATATATTTTAAAGTTAGACATTTATTAGCAGTTAATAAGAAAGGGGAGGGGGAAAAACTAAGATAAAAAATGATAGAGTCTATGATTCTGAAAGTTCCTCCCCCTCTTCCACACTATGAAAATACATTCTGAAAAGAAAACTGCTTGAATATTTTAAAATAAAAAAGACATATTCCTATGACATCAATAAGAAAAGTAACTGATACCTCGTGCACTATGATCTTCCTTTTCTTGATATCTGTGGATGCTATATGCAAATAAAAGGTGTTATAATGCAGATATGCATGATCCCAGAGTTGATCTGTTGGGGTTAGAATTTTAACAAGGTTTTTTCTCTTTCCTGCAGATGACAGATGAAACAAATTGATTTCTTATTTGACGTTAGTAGCATTATTGGACTTCGATTTTCACTCAGAAAATATCATGTGACGTTTTGTTTGAAATTATTTATGTGCTATTTGTCATTTTTATTGTATGAAGATTTATCATTTCACATGTTGTGGTTAAAATAAATGGAACTATCCTTGAATTTATTGTTGAGTTTTACATTGGATTCTCCTTCCACCATAACTATATTTTATTTAAAAATTATTTTTATGTTTTAAATTTTTTGCATATTTGAATATTGAATTACATTTATTTTATTTTTTTTTTGTTTGTCTTATTCTTCTTGCTTACATTTCATGTTAATTCTACATAATACAGAC